TCACTATAACATTTCAGGAAACTTCAAAAGCCTCAAAAGATTTAACTTGGGCTTAGTTTGAATCACTCAAAATTTCATACCAAGATTTTCTTCTTTGGGAGCGGGGGGTGCAGATCAATGGTATATTGTATATTTAATATGCACAAGGCCCTGGGTTCAATCCCTAGCATCAAAACAAACAAAACCCCAAATGATTTTCTTTTTCAGCTAATATTATAAACAAGGAAACCACAGCTAGGTCGGTAATCTTTTTCTTCTGAGACCGAACTGGACCACAAAAAAAGGGCTGTTTTATTAGGCTCTACACAATCCCTCCCACTGAGGGCTAATAATGACTGACTCCAAACCTAGACCATCAAGAAGCACTTTTTAACAGGTGTGTGTCAGTGCTGGTTCTGAGACTCTCACAAGGGTGCCAATCTCTGAGCGTACTGAACTAGCCAGACAAACTGTGGCCTCACCTGTGTGCATATCATAGTCTCCGGGGTAAGCATAGGGATCATAAGCAGCCTGTAAGGGAAGAGACAGAGTCAGGACAGTCACCCTCTGGTGAACCAAATGCTCGGCCTAGCGTCTATGTGCCAAAGCGGGCTACGGGTACAAAGGCGTATAAGACAGGACACAGTCCCCACTTTCCAAGAATCGCCATGCCTGCGAGAAATGGGAGAATAAACCAGCCGTGGGCGCAAGGATCGGAGCAGAGCGCCAGAGGCGGCGCGCGGCGGGGAGTTCAGAGCAGACGGAGCCCAGACCGAGAGCTCGGTCAGAAACTCGGCAGCGCGTCACCCGCCCTCGCCCGGGTCTTGGGACAGAGAGCTAGCGGCTCGAACACGCGAAATGGGCAGCAGGGACAGATCCATGACGGGCCGGACGCTGGGGGGGGCAGCACGGGGCCATGCAGGAGGCAGCCGGCGATGATGGCCATCCGCGCGGACTCCCGGGGAGGCCCAGATACCGCCACGTTCCCGGGCATCCGGGGAGCCCTGACCCTGCCGCCGAGCCCGCCGCGCGTTTACGACCACGTTACCTCAGACTCGTAGTCATCAGCCGGGTAAGACATGACTGCGGCGCTCGCCAACACCACCGGAAAGCGTGAAAAGAGCGGTCCGCGCCTGCCTCTCCAAGGCCGGAAGTCAGACCCCGCTCGTATAGCTGGGAAACCGGAAGCGCTCCCGAGCCAGCAACATCAGGATGCAGCCATGATAAGAAGGTGAAAGACTCTTAAAAGTCACCTAATTTTCTTTAACTCTTCAAATAGAGGCCTTTAAAAGAATGTAACTCTATAGTACTGGTGAGAATTCCGAAAAAAGAGCATGACATAGCTCCGCAAAGAACAGGCAAAAAGGAATCGCAAAGAATGCCACACAAAAAATGGCTGACAGCTTCCTCCGGCGGCTTCTCGCGTGAAGGAAAATGCAGCCGTAGGGGGCCTAACCTTAGATTTAGGTGTAATCGGCTTGCCTGCAGGAGAAATATCTTCAAAAGACTAAATTTAGCGGGTGTAAAAGCTGATTCTCGGATCTATGCAGTGAGAAGGTAGTGAGAAGGCATTTAGAGCCCCCCCACGCACCAAATTCAGACACTAAGGTTGGCAGGCAAAATTGAGGCCAGCTGTGGTTCAAGTCCTCAGACCTTGGCGGCTCAGGAGAGCTCAGGACCTGTTTTTTGCCCTTGAGGTACTAGGTATTGTACCTGTGGCCTCGCACATGCTAAACCACACTCTACTACTGCACTACATCCCAATCCTTTGTTCATGAATATACTAAAAAGGAGTTGTGATGGTGGAAGAAGTTTTTCTAAATTATCAAATTCATTTTTTAAGCTAAAATGCTAGAGGAAAATGTAACTGGTCCATTTTATGCTTTAAGTATAGCCCTTGCTGCTCGGTCAAGGTAATTTATTTTTAAGATGGACATGTTTCTCTTCCTCTCTCTTCCCCTTCCCTAATTTCTCCCTTCTCCTCCGTAATCTTGGGAGAAACAGGATTACCTTTCTTCCCCATTCTAGGCAGTGTTATCCGTTCTTGAGCGCACAGATTTACGGACAGCATTAGAATATCTAAAAAATGACCATATTTGTCCCCAGCCCTGAAAAAAAATAATAGTTAACATGGCCAAACTGAGGTTCCGATTTTCTGCTCCTCCCTCAGTTTTCCAGGTAATGAAAACTTCAATTTCTCAGCTGCTCAGACCAAAACCTTCACAGCCATCCTCCACCTGCTTCCTTTTTCATAGCCCACACTCAAGTGCATCTGCAAATCTTGTTGGCTCCACCTCCAAAATAGTTGCAGACTCTCAGTCTTACCACCTTGTCTCTGTCATTCTTGTCTGAGCCCCATCATCTCACCTCTATTGTTGTAACAGCTCCTCACACTTCCTGCTCCCAATTCTCAACCCATATTTGTACAATTGAATTTGAGTTGACATTTATGAAAGAAAAGTGGCACAGAACTGATCACACACACTAACACCTGAGATAAGAAGCGGGTTTATTGTCAGGAGCCTGACAAGTCTGTTCTGCACAAAGCAGAACAGCAGCATCAAGTGATAGAGAGCCACAACAACTCCCCCATGAATGTTAGCTTCTACAGGCTAGAATCATGGCTGTGGCACAATAAGCATCCCCTGATCTTGTGGAAGGCAAGTTTGTTTCTTAGGAACTGAGATGGGCAGTTTTCTATCTCTCAGAAGAGGGAACAAGGAAACAGACATGTCCCTTTATCTTCCCAAGGAGAGAACAGGGAAACCAGTATGTCCCCATCTCAGGGGCTGGTAAAGTTGTCTCCTCTCTCCCAATGAGAGAACAGGGAGAGAACTGCACGGCCCGTCTCCAGGCCAGTAGGTTTTATCTCAGGCTAGTTTCTATTTCTTGAGAATAAGAACAGTATTCATAAGTGGGGGTGGAGGAAAGGAAGATGGTTGCAATTATGCTAACAATTTAGTCCATTGATTGGCAGCACATTAAGCCAGCTTGGCTTAGAAATGCGACTTTGACACAAAAGCAGACCAGATGGAACCCCATTACAGACCATGAAATGTCTGATCACAGGGTGTTGGATTTTGCAAGGTTCCCGTGTTAATGGGAATCCAGGACTTCAAAAGGGTGGAAACTGAGCAGACGAAAGCTCTTGGAATAGAGGATTTAGCAGCTGAAATGCTGCTCGGTTTCTCTTGATCTTCTTTTGCCTGGGGTTTGAGGCAGGAAATTGTCTGACTTGGGAAAGTCAGGCATATTTCACAGTCTGCCTGGATTCATTTCAAGCTCCATTTCCTATATGCATGAGATCAAAGTCTCCAACATACTGCTCTCTTAAATGAAAAGCCTGCTGTAAACCTGACTTCCAAACAACCCAAGCAAGATCTTTCTCAAAATAAAATTTAAGGACTGGGCTGCAGCTCAGTGGCAGAGCACTTGCCTAGCATGTGTGAGGCACTGGCTTCTATCCTTAGCATCACATAAAAATAAACAAAATAAAGGCATGCTGTCCATCTACAAATAAAATTTTTAAAAAACTTTAAAAATAAATAAAAATAAAATTTATAAGAGGGCTAGGGGTAAATGGGCATGGTGGCACATGACTGTGATTTCCATACAGGAGGCTGAGGCAGGAGGATCATGGCTAGTCTCAGCAACTCAGTAAGGCCATAAGCAACTTAGCAAGACCCTGTCTCAAAATAAACAAATAAATAAATGGCAGAGCATGGTGGTGCATACCTGTAGTTCCAGGAGTTTGGGAAGCTGAGGCAGAAGGATCAAGAGTTCAAAGCCAGCCTGAGCACTTCTTCGAGGCACTGAGAAACTCAGCAAGACCCTGACTCTAAATAAATAGAAAAAAGGGCTGGGGATGTGGTTGAGTGGTCAAGAACCCCTAGGTTCAATCCCCACTAACAAAAAACAAAATAAGGTAGGAATGTAGCTCAGTGATAAGAACACTGGATTCAAGCCTCAGTACCCCCCACTGCACAGTGAAGTCAGGAAATAACAGTAGTTTACCTGTTTGTTTCACTTTTCTGAGCATCATCTCACAAACTCCCACCCACCAACTTTATTGCAGTTTTATGTTACAAATCAGAACCAGAAGCATTCTCAGGGATCATCTGCTATATGAATCATAGGGCAAAATCTCCTTTTTCGGGGGTGCCAGGCATTGAACCCAGGGGCACTTAACCACTGAGCCACTTCACCAGCCCTTTGCTTAGGGCCTAGTTGCCAAGGCTGTTCTCAAAATTGTGGTCCTCCTGCCTGAGCCTTCCAAGTTGTTGGGATTACAGGCGTACACCACCACACCTGGCTCATAGAGCAAAGTCGAAACTGAAGCCCACTAGGTGTTAAAAGGGGCTGTGTGATGGCAGACTGTTTCCTGACTGCATCTCTGTGTGGAGCGGTACACTGAGGCTTCAACCCAGTGCTCTATCACTGAGATACACTCCGAACCTTTTTTAAATTTTGAGACAGGGTATTGCTTAGACTGCCAGAAGTCAAGTTCACAGGAGGCTTTTCATTTAAGAAAGTAGTCTAGCCAGGTGTGGTGGCACACGCGTGTAATTCCAACAATTTAGAAAGCTGAGGCAGGAGGATCACAAGTTTGAAGGCAGCTTCAGCGTTTAGTGAAGCCATGAGCAACTTAGTGAGACCTTGTCTCAAAACAAAAAATAATTTAAAAAGGCTGGGGATGTTGCTCAGGGGTTAAGCACTGGTAGGTTCAATGCTTACCCCGCCTCCCCCCCCCCCAAAAAAAAAGTAGCATCCTAGAGAAGACTATGGCGTCTCGACGGGTCTAGGTTCAACTCTCAGTTCTTCAACTTTCTAACTCTATCCTGATAGAGCTCAGTGTTTTCCTAGCATGCACGAAGCCCAGGGTTCAATCCCCAATACAGAATGAACAAAAGAAAAAAAATCTACCTGTTAAATCCCTAGAGATGGGAACTAAATGATATAATGGGTGTTAAGTACTTAGTTGATGGTACATTTTCAACAATGTTTGTTTCTCTGTTTCCTTCTAGCTACAAGTGGAGTTGGCGTCTTAATAATATGAGTCAGAAGGGGAAGGTTCAAATGAACACAGCATTTTTTTCCCCACGTCTGGATAACGATAATTCTCACAATGGTGTTCTGTAGGCACCACAAAATCTGGAAATGATTCTCCAATCGTCAAAGAAAGATTGCATTTTAACTGTGTGGAATGAAACGGTTTACATTTGGGAAGAAATTTTGCCTCTACACAGACCTCCTCACTTGAGAACTGGGCCTCAGCTCTTCATCTACTAAACAGGAATGGTGTTGTTTGCCTACTTACAGAACTGTTGGTGGAGTACAGGTTGTGAGACATCTTAAGTGCACCCGGGAGATGCCAGATGTTGTTAAATGCATCCTTAACTGCTTTGCTGAACTTGTTTCCGGGACTCTGACTTCTCCCGGTGGACTGTGAGCATCACGGGGACACCGGCCTGATCTGTGTCCAAGACCTGGCGTGGAAAAACACCTGCTCAGTGACTCTCTTGGACGGAGGCGCTACTCTGATGTAAGGCTGCTGGATTGTGATTCTAACCCTGCGATCAACCCTGGGGTGACCAAACGAATCCCGGCGGAAGGAAATCTAATAGAAATAGAAGCTATTACTCCGTAGTTGGGGCTAATATCTCCAAATTTTAAACATTTTTTACTTTTTTCACTTATTGAGACACGGTTTCGTTAAGTTGCCAGGTTGGCCTCGAACTCGGCGATCTTCCTGCCTCAGTCTCCCCGGTAGCTGGGGCTAGTGCCACAGCGCATGGCAAACTTGAATGTTTTCCTTTTTCTACTTATATTTCCTGGGAAGTTCTTTTTTTCCTCTCATTTAAACACGCCTATAGCTACACGTAGTGCGGCTTCTTGACTTTCCTTCGTGATTGGCTGCAGATCACCTTTCCGTGATTGGCTACGACAGCTGCCGGTTTCTTTTCCATGATACGACAGGGGAAATGGGGGGGGGGAAGAGGGTCTTAAAAACCTCGCCATTTTATTGGCTCCGGTAGGTACAGACGGCGGGGGCCCTAGGCTTTCAAATTTATGATTGGTTCTTATATCCGCCAGTCATGTTGCTGGAAATCCCGTCCAATTATCTTGCTCGTACTATGCCCTCTCTGCCCGATTGGCTGGGAGGTGCAGGTTGGAAGGATCCTCATTGGTCCAAGAGCTCCAGCTTGTGAGCCCTCCCCTCGCCCGGTTGCCGTGGTTGCAGGCCCGGCCCGCCTGCTCGCTCGCTGACAGCCAGACTTAGGGCGGAGGGAACTGGGTCCGTTGGTCGGTCGGGAACGAGGCTTCAGCGGCCAGGCCCGTGCGGAGCCGTTACCATGGCAGCCGCCGCCGGGGGCGCGGACGACGGTCCGCGCTCGGGCCGCTCGAGCTCGGATGGCGAGTGCGCGGTGGCGCCGGAGCCGCTGACGGAAGCCGAGGGCCTCTTCTCCTTCGCCGACTTCGGGTCTGCACTGGGCGGCGGCGCGGGCCTCCCAGGCCTCCCGGGCCGGGCGTCCGACGGGGCCCAGTCCCCGCTGCGCTACCTCCACGTCCTGTGGCAGCAGGACGCGGAGCCGCGCGATGAGCTGCGCTGTAAGATCCCCGCCGGCCGGCTCAGGCGCGCCGCCAGGCCCCACCGCCGGCTCGGGCCCACCGGCAAGGAGGTGCACGGTGAGCGGCGCGAGCGGCCGGCTCTGCCCAGCTGCTCGTCGCGGGGGACCTGGCGCGAGTTACTAGCCCCTTAGAACCGACCTCCGACTGCCCCTTCCCGGCAGCTTGGAGTCCTCCGACGGCTGGCTTAGAGCCCAGGGTGACCCTTCGGTCTCCTTTGATAATAATTATTATAGCTGCTAAGGACTTTTTCTAAAAAAAAGTCTTCCTGCTCGGAGCCGGTCTCTCCAGACTCCCCACACTTGATAATTCCCGAGAAGAGATTTTCCACGACTGCGGGGTTTATTAGTAGATAATAATACGGGATTCTGAGAATACTTTCATCATCAGAGAGAGGGGAGGCTAGAGCCTACAGCTAGGTTGTACCTGCTTGCTTAAGTGCACAGACCTGGATTGGACTCCTCTACCACATTCAGTCTTTTGGGCAAACTACAGGCCTTTCCAGCCTTGGTTTTCCCTGTGTAAAATGGGTATAATACCTGCTTTACAGGAATGTTGCAAGAGCCAAGTAAGGTACCAAATGTATAGCTCTTATCCTGGCTTTGTTGTGTGCTAAACACTTGGGGTTACACATGGTCATTTATTTATTTTTTGTAGCACTGGGAGGTGGAATCCAGGGCCTTGAGGCAGGCTGTCTATCACTGAGTACATCCCGGCTCCTAAATCCTATATTTTGTGTGTTTTTGGTGCTGGGGATTGAACCCAGGGCCTTGTGCATGTGAGGCAAGCACTCTACCAACTGAGCTATATCCCCAGCCCTAAATCCTACATTTTTGACCCATGTATAGTGACCCTCTGACCATTTGACTTTCTTATCTTCATAAGGAGATGTATTAGATCAAGACAGACCCTCTTGACTGATTCTTTGTAATCCTCACTAGAACTCCTTGAGAAACAGAAATTGTGACCATTTTAGTGATGAGGATCAGAGAAATTTGTCTTCCTCCAGGTCATGTAGAAAGTGCCTGTGCTGATATTAGAACCCAGGTCAGTCACCGTTCAAAACTCCCACTCTCAGATGTCTACCATATTGTCTTCTACCTTTTATGAATGACACTGAAACCAGGCCCTGAGAGAGTAATAATATCGATATTTAGGATCTCCTCAAACAAGCTATGATTAACCCATTTGTTGGTGTTGTGAAAATTAAAGAAGTGCGGGACATGGTGGTGCACACCTGTAATCCCAGTGACATGGAGGCTGAGGCAAGAGAATTGCAAGTTTGAGGCGGCCTTAGCAATTTAGCCAGGCCTTAACCAACCCAGTGAGACCCTGTCTTAAAATAAAAAATAGGGGGGCTGGGGATGTGGCTCAAGCGGTAGCGCGCTCGCCTGCTATGCGTGCAGCCCGGGTTCGATCCTCAGCACCACATACAGACAAAGATGTTGTGTCTGCCAAATGCTAAAAAATAAATATTAAAAAAACTTCT